AAAAAAAAATCGCGACGGATCACGTGACACGCGCCGCTGTTCGGTGTACAGAGCTAAATGTCTTTGAGAACAGCTGTTTGTCGAAGCTAGTGGGTTATTTCCAAGTAAGTTTCAGGGGAAGATAGGTTTCTGCACAGATGTGCATCAGTTACCGTATGCACACAAATACATCACGAGAATATCGGTGATTTGTGATGTTTCTATAGGAGGGGACCAAAAAATTGGTCAATAACAAAAGCTTCTATTGGATGTATAATTTCAAACTTTGCTGATGTCATAGAAAACATCCAATAGAATACAAAATAAGCTTTTTCCGTAATATATCAGGCATAGGACGTTTACAAACGATTATTTAATACTTGCCCGAGATATCTCGGGATATGGACTGCGCATCGTGACGCGCAGACCGAGATATCTCGGGTTATGGGCTTACAACGGTCTAACCATTAGTGACATGTGAAAACTCCTCCTCTTTAACAGGTAGTATCCAAATGTGATTCCATCTCGCCCCCGCTTTCCCAGTAGCCACATTCTGGTGAAGCTACACTGCTCTCCCATATAGATAGAAGTTCATTATACAAATGCAACCGCATACTCAAAGATTATCCGAACTCTGCAACAACTCTAGTAAACTGATTGCCAAGTCAATTACCCAACATACACTTTGATGTTAATTGTAACTAACAATCAACCATGTAAGTTACTTTTAAAAAAATGTTAAAATATTATAGGTATTATAATGTAACTCATATCTATCTCTTTTTTTGTAAAGTGTTAGGACTAAAAACGAGTCATCAAAACCCGAAATGCATTTCCTTTAATAAACTATACATAAATCAATTGTTCCTTATGTGACATGTTACTAAAGAAAAAAGCTGCTAGCTTTTACTTTTTTAAAGTCTTGGAAAATATGACAATCTGGAAAAAATAGACAACCGAATATTTTATATTATTGAAATAAAAAAAAACACTGACACTGAAATTTAAAATATTTTGTAGTTTGTTTTCTATATGTATAAATAAATGTCAGTGTGTGGTTGTGTTAAGGGACAAGACGTTTGTCACTCTGAAATTTGGCAGAGAGAGTTAGTTGTTAGAGTATTGAAAATACTACATTTTCCTTGTTATAAGTAGATGAGGTGGGAAACGAAGCGAGTGGTATGACAAATCTTGACTATGATCGGAGTAAATGACGATTATTCGCTTAACTAGAATTCTCACATTTTAATGATCCCTATTTATACACTCGAAATTCAGCAAGATGCCATTTTATAATAATTAAAAATATAAAAATTTTAAAATAAAATATCG